GAAGACGGAAGACCTTTCACGGCTGACGGTGCGAATGGCGTCGTTGGTGGTGAGAAGGGAGCTTCGGCTACGAGCGGTGATCTGAGGCCTGATATCGGTACGAGGAGGTATACTGCTACTGGGTTGGCAAGCGTAGACATCGCTGGTGTTAATGGTGGGGTGTTGGATGGGGAGAAGGCGAGGAAAAAGAAGAAGTTTGGGAAGTTGAGGAAGATGTTTAGATTGGACGATTAGGTTTCGCGGGCGGTGCGAAGAAAATACAACTTACAGAGTCAGATTTCCTTATGCCATATTGGCGATGCGATGCGACGCAATGCACTGCGATTTTTCTTTTACGTTCTTGGCATGGGTTGGGAGGTTGGGAAATTTGGGTTTGGATTGGGATGGATGGGTTGAACTACGGCAAGACGATCCGATGTGGGTTTGAGAAAATCATTCTGCTCGGGCTTTTGCTCTCTTTTTCCTTTGCAAGTCTATTTGTCTGTTTCGTTTGAAATGGATTGCGAGTTGTGCTATGTGTGGTTTTCTTGTATAAAGCTTTACGTGGATTTGAAGGGGGGGCAAAGGAGGGAAGGATTCGATTCTAGCACATATGATTGTTAGTTATACTATATGAGGGGCTGGATGGGGAAAGGAGGGAATGGAGGCAATAAAATGAGTGGAGTGGAATATGAAGGGGCAGGAGGAGATGGTGAAAAGGCTGACGGGAGAGGAGGTAATACATAATCGAAGGAGGATGTAGGATGTAGGATGTTCAATAAAATGCTACATTCGTTGAGTTTCTCGCTCAAATCCGGTTGATTGATTGATAATATGTTTTTGGCATGCATGCCTAAAGAGAAGTGATCTTATAGACAGCGGCGACTCGTTTTCCTTCCCTTGTCCAAAGAACTTTCAGCTTGCTGTGTTCGAAATACACAGTACAGTACATTATCCAATGTTCCTCCTTTCGCGATCTTTGACAACACACTAAGAACACCATCTTCTCTTCTCTTGCATTCCTTTCACTCCTCCATCCCTCCCTCCACCTTACACCTCATGAACATTTCCTTGGAGAACGCTCCCTCCAAATCCAGAGGCATAGGTAGGACCATACCCCTAGACACTATCCATCTAACAAAAATGTTTATCCATCGACGATGATGAGAATGATATCTCGCATCCCCTGATCCTTCTTCACCCTCCCTACGGATCTCCACTCTTTTGAGTTGGTCGCATGAAGTTGTCTTAGGTATCGCTGGATCCTGGGTCTCGGTCCGTGTCTAAATCTCGTCTCTTCTTCCTCCTTCTCACTCTCACTGTCCTTGGCATTCGTGATCCATCGCATCTCGCCGTCCCCCATCCATTCGAATCCAATTCGATCCAATCTACCAGACCTGTATTTCCAAACCTGCATTTCGGAACCGAGACAAGCAAAACAGTCTCATCTACTCGCATGGTGCCATATCGTGTCGTGTCGAGCTGAGTTGAGTCGCAGACACTCTGATGTTGACATTCTCGACACTCCGCATCCTTCCTTGCCCATACAATAAGTACCTACTTAAGTAGTCTTTGCTTCTGCAGACGGGTCCGTTTCGGTTTCCCCTTACCGGCTGTCCGGCTGGTCGTTATGTTCCGTACCGTAATGGTTGGGCACTTCAGTGTTGGATCTTCACCGTTTTCTTCGCCTTTGTCTTCTTATTGATTCCCTTCTCTGGAAGGGAGGGAGAGTATGAGAGTGATTCCGGTTGAGAAGAATGCGACAGGCTGCGATGGAGCGATTTGTAGCAGCTGGCGAGCATGACGAACGGGCAGTAAACGAGGTAGTAGTTTAGACTTGTTGAGGACATCGTGAGAATCGAGAAGTTTGAGTGAGATGTGTTGAGAGTGATTTTGTCTGGAACTTGAAGTTGGTGTGCTGTCGATAGAGTGTAAGTACGAACGATAATCGCTGGTAGGTAGACTTTGACGAGTAATTTAATTGACTTGATGAAAGTAAAACAAATCAAGGCTCACGATTTAAGCTTGAAAATGAGTTTGTGGAAGGAGGACGATGGGATATATAACTGATTAACTGGCTAAATGACCTAGATGAACTCAGCCTACCTCACTTCGCAATTTTCTCACCCCCCCGAATACGCAACTCTTAAAGCCTATGGAATCACGAAGTTACCCCTCGTAAATGTACGAAGCGAAGCCACTGAAGTTAGCGAGCGGACGAATCCCGGAGATGCACAGCTGCTGACATTTCCCACACACCACACACCACACCACACACCTCGACGTCGTGCTGACGAAGCAGCGAGTGCGTGAGTGTGTGGCTTGGCTTGGCCTACGATATTTCCGCCCGCTTTGATGTGAATAAATGCCGTTTTATCCAGGAGGTATGGAAGAGCGTGTTATGTAAGCGTTTTTTTCCCTAGTTCGTATACAGGGAAAGAGAGGGTTGTGATTGGATGTCTGTATTACTCGATGGGTGTTGGGTTTCGGGATGAGGGGTGCCGGGGGGTTGGGATGGGGAGCAGGATCGGAGTTTAGTGGTCGGATTTATTGTGTTTGGATGTTGAGCATTGTAAATAAGTGAGGATGCGTAGAGAGAGGGATGGTGAGGTGGGATGGATGGATGCGCGATAACTCGCACCCGGGAAAAAATGGAAGAACAGGAATTGGATTGGTCAGCTGAACGGGAAGCAATACTTCAAATTGGCTTGTGGAGACTTACAATATCTCCTTCCGTTATCTCAATTCATAGGCGAAGGAAAGAATCTTGTTCGTAGATCAATTTAGTTGCGATATTCTTCATATTTCGATGAGGTATTCTAGCGGCTTTAAGGGCATTTACGTATTGTAAGTATGTGAAAGAGGCAATACGTGCATACAATTTTCCTACGAGAGTTACATTTATTTAAAGGCAAAGTTTGTCGTGATCTGCGAAGAAAGTAATTACATGTTGAAAATCAAGTTCTTTTGAACGTCAAAGCATCAGGACTGTTATCCATCATTGGAATCTAGATGAGGTGGGGTAAAAATGAGTAATGCGTAGGTGTGGAGGTGTTTTGTTTCGACTCCGAATCTTGGTACAGTACATGTGGAATTTATCATTATTTACTAATATTAAGTCAAAGTAATAGTACAGTTACCTAATTGTGGCATATTTCTTCTCCTCCTCTGATCAATTTGTTCAGGGTGGAGGTTCTGTTTTGATTTAAGGTGCTCCCCCTACCCCCCCTCGCTTGGCGTTAGCGAGGACGGAATAGTGAATGCAGTCGGCGTAACGGACCTCCCTGTAATTCTTATACTACGCGGTTTGAAGTGCAATCTTATAGACAATACAAAAGAAGCTATAGGTATTTGCTTGACTTCATTTTGATATGTCCTTCTTTTCAGCGACTGAGGCATAATTCTTCGAGTCGGATTAGTAGCTACAATAACAGAATTCTACTCGGTTGTTAGTGTACTTCTAAGGGCATGGAATCAAGTGGTTATTCTAGAACATATAATAATCATTACAATACGCCAGAAAAGAAAAGAGGATTTAATCCGGTACCAAAAGTATTGCTCCATCCAAGACCCCACCTCCTCAAGGCCCCTCCTAGCGAGGCTGCCCTTGGAAGTGCTGAATTTATATAGTGCCGAATCTTCTATTCAAGGTAAAGGGGATAGTTAATAGTCCAAGAGGGTTGATACCTCCTACCTACCTACGTAGGATAACTTGACATTTCTTTTGCTCTTTTGAGACTTTTAAGTTCACGACGGCGGGACATAATATTCTGCCGTTGGTGGGCCGTGAGCAGAGCGGAAACTAGTACCTGGGTACTCCTTAACGTTAACTTTCCAATGCTTTGCGTAGAAATCATAATCGCACAACTACAACCACACCACACTGTGTTGGGTCTGCTAGAGCCTCAATTCTAGAGCCGGCCGTCATGGAAAAAAGGTTCCCAGAGCTAACCAGTTGCAAAACCTATACACTATACAAAGCAAAACATCTGTGACAATACTCTGGACGACGCGGACCTAGCGACACACTATCCACTAGACAATGGACGACACGCCTCCCCTCCAGTTTATCCTACCGTAGGCAAGCTCGACAAACTTCCAGTCGAGATCCTCACCCAGATCCTGATGTATACCGATATCCCGTCGATAACTCGTTTCCACCGTGTCAACAGCCGCGCAATGCTCCTTGTTGATTCGGTCCCCCAGTACGCCACCATCCTCAAGCACTGTCCCAACATCATCCGCGCCACTCTTAGTATCCAGGCAGATGGGTTCGATTGCAACGTACTGTACGCTGCCCTCAGCAGCACTAGATGTGCTATGTGCGAGTCCTTCGATGGCCATCTCTATCTCATTGACTGCCGCCGATTGTGCTACCTCTGCTTTACGCGGCGTCCAGAATATATGCCCCTCACAATTGGTCTCGCATCGACTTTCTTCCTTCCCGATACCACAAAGCAGCGCCATGCCATTACTAGTCGCCAATGCCTCCGTGCTGCTAACCCTCCCAGTATCCTGAGCTTGCCTGGGCGATACTGTACTGCTTGGTCTGAAAAAGGGGGTAATTTGGTGCGGAAGAGGCTTGAACTGTTTGACCGACGGGCAGTGATCCAGAATCTCGCGGCTCCTGGACCACCAATGCTGGACAAGACCACCAGAGACCCCTATCAGTTTATGGCTATCATCACGGCACCGCACCTATTCAACTCTAGCCTGCAGGTCGACTGGGGATACTTCTGCCTTGGATACAATGATGAGATGGAGGAGAGAAAGCGGCATTTCAGGATGAATTACACAAGAAATGAAGTTCTGGAGCACGTTGTGAAGTACGGGCCGGTGGAGGAGACCTCGAGAATACCCGGTAGGTTTATGCATGTCGCTCGAGCACGACAATAATATCGAGTTGCTTTTACGATCTCATTTGGTCTTAATTGTTCCGCAAAACAAAAAACAAAATTGACCGGGTCGCCGCTAGTCGACTCACTCGAAAGAGTGCGACGACTAGCGACTGCCTGGTCGCTGAGTTTCAACGGGAGTCGAACCCGTGTTTCACAACAGTCAGCTAGTGAGTCAGTCTGAGAGATGTGTGTGCTACCACTGCAACATGAAACCTTTTTGCTTTGATTGATGTCTAAATCTGCTTATTTGGGAACCTGAATAGGATAGTGAACTGAGAGACAAGTGAATCTCATTGACCCCTGCCTATGGTGCACAATTGTATGCGTGACTGAATTTACAAAATCTCTCAACCGCATTATCAGGTCACTATTCTGCCACTGTCAAATAATCACGTGCTATTGAAGAACAGATGCCTTTGATACCGCTATATATTCCATAAGAGGAGCGAAGATTTATGCCCAGTCTTCGATTAAGTTGTGTTGCCCGAAACAATTTTTTTGCAAGGTACATGAGTTCAGCTTTTATGGTGAGTCTACTTCTGCTTAAGTCGTTAGATGTTACTTGAATTAAAATAAGCAATTCTCGGTCGGGTGATGCTCAAATGGTAGGGCCTGACCGTTGAGCTCCCTCAACCTCGAAAGAGCTGAGCCGGGAGCTCCGATCGAGAATTCAGTTCGAATCTGAATACCCAAATCTATGTACTCTATTGCGAAGGGTTTTTTTTTTGTGGCTTTCGAATTTCAAAGTTCTTTTTATCAGTTTTAGGGAATCAAATTTCAATGTCACTTGGAATTGATGGCACTTTTGAACTTGAGACTAGAAAATCACCTCGGACCCTCGGTTAAGGAGCCAAGTAAACAAACAGTAGTGAAATTTTATTTTACAGCCAACACATTAATCATTAGTGACTCAATTTTACCTTGAGCTTGGTTGGTATAATTTTCAATGTCCTCGACCATCTACGAAAGATACCTCCGAGAGTAATCAGCTCTATCTCTATTTACTTGCAATGCCAAAGCTTTCGCTTCTGGATCCAAGAATAGGGGGACAAATGAAGCTGAATTTTCGCATACAAGAGGTACACAGACCAAAATGTTTGTTTGGCAATACTTTTGGCTCAAGCAAATAGTCATATGTTGTAAACGCTCAGCGGCCTTTTCGAGTCTACGTTCCTGCCAAACTGTGGTCAGGATGATGGAACCGGCAAATGTGGGTTGTGTGTGTTGTGATAAAGAACAGAAACATTCGAGTTGGTGAGAAAGTTGTATATTTCGCTGGAATTATTTATTTCAGGCATAGTGACACACATATACACGTAAGCGTTCTTAGGAGGCCCTTCCATGCACGCAGAGACAGTCCCTGTCAAGCTGTCAACAAACGTATCTTCTCAAGTTCAGCCTATACCACGAAACAAACTGGACTTCACGATGAACCTGCATCCATGGAGCAATTCCTATACTGCCCAAGCTATCTTCTCTCACTCTGCCACAGACATGCAACGCCCAAAATGAAACCAGATGGCGAATCCGAAACAACATCAATATTCAACCTCTTCTAAATCCAGGATGCCATTTGGAAAGAGTGCTTCCCAGCCCTAGAACTGTGTACCTTGGAGCCAAATGGCTTAACCGGCACAACTCAATATGTAGCGCATGCTCAAGATGAACAGGAGGGGTACGAGAAAACAAAAGTTTTACCTTAAGAACTCTCAGATTCAAGAGTGGAGTAGACCGCCATGTAGAGAGCTGAAACTTAAGTTAGGTTCCCTGTGTAATTCTAGCTGCTTGAGATAGATTTCTTCAAAAACGGCTTGTCAACAATGGAACATGTACCTACCTACTGCAAATTGGAACAAATTTATACAATTCCACGGAAACAACATCATTTGAATAATGGCACAGACACTGTACGATGGATTTCATGTGCATGCATCCGGACCGGGAAACGACCAGCGAGAGAGTATGGGCATTGCTGGCACACGAATGTCCAACTTGTTTTGAAGAATTTGGAGGGTTTGCTTACAGCGAGTACATAGCATGGGGTTAATAATGGAGAGGTTAGGGATTTGGTGGTAAATCGAGTCGTTGATATGATTCGGCAGTGAAATAGTAATTAGCGGACGACGAAGCGAGAACAAACATTCATCCCGCCATTTTAGGGTAGAAAGGGACAGGAAAGATCTGCAGAGATGAGTGAAGCAAAACGGACCCGCGATAACAAGCTTTGTCAAAAGAAAGCTGACGAGTCCAGCGGGTAACAACGATGGGGATCGTATCTCTGAGATGTGCGACCTGAGGCCAATCACAACGCGACAACGGCTTGCAGAGTACGAGAACGCGAGGATGTGGTTTGCGAAGATGAGAGAGGGGTTTTACGCTAAGAATAAAATCAAGATGGTAGGGTATAAGGCCTTAGTGTTTGATGTGGGAGTAGAAACCACTTTATGGGAAATGGTGGAGTTTTCAGGAGGGTGAGAGGATGGGTACGATAATTGGTCACGAAGACTGGGAGAGTTGGAGGGACCGGACTGCGTATTCCTTGGAAATTGATAAAGGGATTCGTTTGAATTTCGGTCTTCTTTAAGTACCTAAGTAGAGGTGCTTGAGCAAGGAAGTAGACTTCAATGTAACACAAGTTGACCCGAAGGAAATATTTTGGGCCTGTTGAAATGTCGCTAATCTACGACGTGGTTTTCCAAGCATGCTGAGTACGGTAATCAAACCCACTCTTTAAATGTAGCTGGGTCAAATTATGGAAGCCTCAATGAGGAAAAGATTAGACTTGAATAGTGATTCAGTGGGCAATGCATTCAACCGTATAGCTTTCTCTGATTTAATGATGCGAGATGTAAACACAGGAAACGAGGCAGTTGATAACCAAACTGCATTTAACCCCTACAGACGGTATTGAATGAAGCAGGTGAGTATTACTGGTAGTAAACTATCACTTGCTTCGAAGGTGCACCCAATAAAAACTTCCCAACGTGCATTCCAACATGAACTGCCGATCTCCACCCCAAAGCATCGCAGCGTCTGCCCTGGTGTAGTGCGGCCCCAGTCAAAATCACGACATCCTCACTACATCTTACCTCACCACGCTAACCCCGCCTTGCCCTCATAACGAACTCAAAGCCTCTTTACAAAATTCCATCATCGCCGCCAATCATTTCCAGAACAAGCATCCCGCGATATCTAACTCCCAGATCATATTCACTACGCGAGTAGAACAGGGTATATGATAGGTGCGGTCTGTTCTGGCCGTGGGGGAGGGTTTTGAAGCTTCGAACTGGTGGAGGGCTAGAAGCTTGGGAAATGGTGCTGAAGCTATGTCGCCATTTGTGGCTGTTGCTTATCATTTTGTTTTAGAGCTGTTCGACTGGAGTTTCTTTTGGATGTTGTTTCTCTTTTGCTTTGTCCTGCAAGTTCTCGAGTTTCTTGTTTTGTGGAATTTTGTAGGATATGAGACAAGATTCAATTGTGGAAGGGACATGACGAGTTTCTATAAAGTCTTCCGTCGAGGTCTTTGAATTCGATTCATAGTCTCTTGATCTTTACTCCCAGAGCCTTGGTTTCAGGCTATCAAGTCTTCTCTTCCTCAACTTTCTTCCCTCATTCCCTCCAACGCCTTCATCCTCAAGCTCAATTGAATCAGCATTCCAACATGGCGACCTCTCCCTCCCAATACCCCTCTCCAAGAGAGAAAACCCATCTTCCTTCTCCTAAAACAAACAGCGACACACCATCCCTCTCCTCAGAAGAAGCCTTCACAAATCCAACCGGCATAGATGAGAAAGCACTATTGTGGAAGTTGGATTGGAAATTACTGCCGCCCTTGACATTACTTTATTTATTGAGTTTTTTGGATAGGAGTAATGGTATGTCTTTTACGTTTCGAGCAGACGATACTGTAGGATAGACTAATGAATGAAATCAACAGTGGGAAATGCTAGACTAGAAGGCTTGATCACCGATCTTGACTTCACAGGAAACGAATATCTACTCACCCTCACAATCTACTTCGTCGGATATGTGCGTATCTCTACCCTTCCAGCATATCAACCCCATTAATCCACCTTGAACATCAAAAATTAACCCCTCTTCCCCTTCCCCAGGTCCTTTTCGAAATCCCCTGCAACATAATTCTCAAACGTACCACCCCCCGCTTCTGGCTCCCTACCCTCATGCTCGCCTGGGGAATCGTCGCAACCCTCCTAGGCGTCACTCAAAACTTCGCCGGCTTCGTCGTCGCGCGCTTCTTCCTGGGTGTCACTGAGAGCGGTTTGTTTCCTGGTGTGGTGTTCTACTTGAGTATGTGGTATAAGAGAACGGAGACGCATTACAGGGTTGCATTGTTCTTCTCGGCGGCAAGTTTGGCGGGGGCGTTTGGTGGGATATTGGCGTTTGCGATTGCGAAGATGGATGGCGTTGGGGGTATCAGGTGAGTGGTTCTTCATCAGTGAGAATTTGAAGTCTGGGGATGAGAGATGAGACTTTGACGGCGATGTTCGCTAACTGGTTGCATAGGGATGGAGATGGATTTTCATACTGGTACGTCCCCTTCTCCCCTCGCTCGGCTATTTCCAATGTCTACAAACAAACAAACCTCCACCCATACAACACCAAAACAAGCAAAACAGAACGTCCAACTAATCCAACTCCCACCAACAGGAAGGACTCCTCACTGTCGTCGTCTCCCTCCTCGCCTACTTCTTCATCCACAACTACCCCTCAACAGCCACCTTCCTCACCCCCTCCGAACGATCCTTCATCCACGCCCGCCTCTCCGCCTCTTCAGACGCAACCAACACCGAAGCCTTCCTCTGGTCCAACGTCCGCGCCGCACTTTCCGACTACAAATGCTGGCTCTACGGTCTAGGATTCCACACCATGTCCCTCCCCCTCTACACACTCTCCCTCTTCCTGCCTACAATAATAAAGCAACTCGGCTACACATCCGCCGAAGCCCAATTGTTAACCGTGCCACCCTACGCAGTCGCCACGATCCTGACAGTAATAATCGCTATTTTGTCAGAGAAGACGAAGAAACGCGCACCCTTCATCCTAGCATCGAGTAGTTTCGCGATCGTGGGCTATATAATCCTCCTCACTGCCCCAGTAGACAAACCGGGCGTCTCATACACAGGCACCATCTTCGCAGCAGCGGGTATCTACCCCAGTACGGCTATTGTATTGTCCTGGCCAGCGGCGAATGTG